CCCAAAATCCAATCCCTAAAGATGACTAAACACATGGAAGATCAAGGCATGAGCCTTTTACCTTAAATGAGCTGGAAATGGAACACAATCTCTGGATCTCCAAGCTCCAAATTGAACTCCCAAGCTCCTTTCCTCTTCTCAAGCTTCACAATCCACCAAAATGCACCAAAATGGCCTTAGAATACTCAAACAAGGCTAGGGTTTCGATATGATGTCTTCTGGGAGTATAAGGGACGAGGGAGGCTGAGATAAGTTGTTTAAATAGGGTGCAAACCCTCAAATTTAGGGTTTCACTCAAACAGCACCTACTCGCCGAGTCGGTCTCCCGACTCGTCGAGTAGGTCACTTAAACTCCCCGCGGATCACGACTCTACTCGACGAGTTGGGCCACCAACTCGTCGAGTCCCAGAGAAAAGTACATGAAATTCTTGAATTAAATGCGTACCAGGAATCAGGTGTTACACAAATCTCCCCCACTTATTTTAGACTTCGTCCTCGAAGTCTGTTGCTGGGTCCTGAAAAAGCTCGGGGTAATGCTCCCTCATCTCGTCCTCCGGCTCCCAGGTCCATTTCGAGCCCTTGCGGTGCTGCCACTGCACCTTTACCAGCTCCACTCTCTTGTTTCTCAGATCCTTTGACTTCCTGTCAAGGATCGCCACTGGTCGCTCGATGTAGTTCAGACTGTCATCAACCTGAATATCCTCTAAAGGTACCACTGCCGAATCGTCCACCAGACACTTCCACAACTGGGAGACGTGAAAAAGTGTTATGAATCTGACTGAGTTCGGCCAGCAGATCCAACCTATATGCCACCTTGCCCACCCGGGCTACAACCCTGAAGGGTCCAATATACCTGGGGCCCAGGTTGCCCCGCTTCCTGAATCGAATGACGCCCTTCGAAGGCGACACTTTCAGAAGTACCATATCCCCGACCTGGAACTCCAGGTCCGATCGACGCCTGTCGGCATAACTCTTCTACCGACTCTAAGCGGTCTGAAGCCTGCTCCGAACCTGATGGATCCTCTCTGTAGTCTTGAGTACCACTTCTGTACTCCCCATGACCCTCTGACCAACTTCACCCCATACAACATCTCAAAGGGAGGACGGTCGATACTCGCATGATAGCTGTTATTATAAGAGAACTCTGCCAGAGGAAGGTAAGTGTCCCAACTACCCCCAAAGTCTAAAACACACGCCCGCAGCATATCTTCCAAAGTCTGGATGGTCCGCTCGCTCTGACCATCCGTATGCGGGTGAAAGGCAGTGCTAAAGTGTAGACGAGTACCCAGCTCTTCATGAAACTTCTTCCAGAACCTCGAAGTGAACCGTACATCCCTGTCGGAAATCACTGAAACTGGCACTACGTGCCGCACCACTGCCTCCCTGATATAGATGTCGGCTAACTTCTCGGCCGAAATGCTCTCCTGAATCGGAATAAAATGGGCGCTCTTGGTCAATCGATCGACGATAACCCAAATCAAATCCACTCCACGCGCAGTCCTGGGAAGTTTTGTGATAAAATGCATAGTAATATACTCCCATTTCCATAGCGGGATATCCAACGGTTGGACGTTTCCATGAGGTCTCTGGTGCTCAGCCTTGACCTTCCTGAAGGTCAAGCACCTCTCCACAAACCAAGCTACATCCCTCTTCATACAGGGTCACCAATAATCAAGACGAAGATCCCTGTACATCTTCGTTGCCCCGGGATGGATAGAAAACCTGGATTTGTGCGCCTCCTCCATCAATATCTGGCGCACACCTCCATGATATGGGACCCACACCCTACGGTGAAGAGTCAACAATCTCCGGCTATCATAGTCGAAGGAGGAAACCTGACCTACAATTCGTTCGCTCTTCTGATGTTCCTCCTTTATGGCCTCCTGCTGGGCCTCTCGAATCTGCTCCAACAGCGGACTCAAAACTGTCATGCTCATACAGATGTCCCTGATCGGCGCTGCCTTACGGCTAAGCGCGTCGGCCACGATATTGGCCTTCCCCGGATGGTTGAGGATCTCGCAATCATAATCCTTTACCACATCAAGCCACCAACGTTGTCTCATATTCAAATTTGGTTGGTCCATAAGATATCTTAGACTCTTATGGTCCGTGTAAACGGTACAACGAACCCCATAGAGGTAATGGCACCAAATCTTGAGGGCGAAAACAATAGCCCCCAGCTCCAAATCATGTGTTGGATAATTCGCATCGTGAGGCTTCAGCTGCCTCGAAGCGTAAGCGATAACATGCCCTCTCTGCATCAATACCGCGCCCAAACCTGAGATGGACGCATCGCAATATACTACGAAATCCTCCATGCCCTCTGGCAGGGCTAAGATTGGCGCCTCGCACAATCTCTGTCTCAACGTCTCGAACGCAACCTGCTTCTCAGGCGCCCAGCAAAAGACCACGGCTTTCCTTGTCAACCGGGTCAGGGGCACGGCTATCTTGGAGAAGTCCTGAATGAATCTCCGATAATAACCTGTCAGTCCCAGAAAGCTCCGAATCTCGGATGGAGACCTCGGAACCTCCCATCTCATCATGGCATCCACCTTGGCCGGGTCAACCGAAATCCCGTTCTGGTTGACAAGGTGCCCAAGAAACTGCACCTCGTGCAACCAGAACTCACACTTGGAGAACTTAGCATACAAGCTCTCCTTCCTCAAAGTATCCAGAACCTCTCGCAAGTGCTCCTCATGCTGCTCTCGCGTCTTGGAATAAACCAAGATGTCATCGATGAAAACTATCACAGACCGATCCAACATCGGTCTGCACACGCGGTTCATGGGATCCATGAACGCGGCAGGAGTTTTGGTGAGCTCGAAGGGAATCACCACAAACTCATAGTGACCATAACGCGTCCGAAAGGCAGTCTTCTGCACATCCTCCTCTCTGACCCTCATCTGATGATAGCCTGAATGCGATCCTCCATCAACTCAATAATCCCTTCCTTGATCGACCCGAAGATGATAGGGGTCGACTCAAGGATACCTCTCGTGATCTCAGACGCGATGAACTCGCGTAGCCCGTCATCAACCTGCTCGGATCCCGCACCCGAGCCTGATCCTGATCCTGACCCAGATTTTGAACCTCCTGCTCCGTGTCGTGTGGTCACCATACTGAAAATAAACACATAAACGTCGGGATCATACATACTCTCGAGAGGCCTTGCACACTCTCCAAATTTCATGGTTCCATCTCGGCCCTCCTTGACTCGAGTACGGATCATCTGCTTCCAGTAGTACGGGCCCATACTACCTTCCACATCTATATGTACTTTCCTCAAGGATTTCTTCAACTTCACCAAGTCCCTTTACCAATACCCCTTTCCACTAATCTCATCCTAGGCTTTCCTAGGGCACCCTCCGACCTACTCTCCGCCATCAGCTGCACTAGGAGTCCTTACCACCTTCCCCTAACTAGCTTGCGAATACTGTTACATATTCGCTCACTAGTTAGTTAAAGTTAGCCAGGACCCCTACAGCACAAAGCAAGCAGCATTCGTGCATTGAGTAACCTCATCAAGCATAACCTAATCAGGCTATCCTACTGCTGACTAAACAGTCCTAGTATACAGCTCATACAATAGGCACTCAAGGCGTCCTCCTAGATCCTTAGCCCTAATCTAGCATGCAGTTCTCAGAATCATATATCAGGCATACAAGGCATCCTCCTAGATCCTTAGCCCTATTCTAGCATGCAATTCTCAGAATCATAAATCATATAACATAACAAGTATGGGTATCTTGGGGAAAACTTACTTGAGCTCGGTCGGTCGCACGCATCACACACCCTGTCCTTTCTCAAAATTCTTTAACTTAAATTTTAGAAAACTGTTTTCTTTGTGAAAAATCATTTAATCCCTCGGTTTGAGTCCAGACACCCCCGAGGGTGTGTCCGAATCTCTCAAACCAAGGCTCTGATACCAACTTGTAACATCCCAAATTTCGACGCCAAAAATTTCATTTTTAATTAAGTAATTCATAAGACAGTTCACCAAAACATTGTCAATATTACATCAACTTATAAAAACCATAATGTCGTGTCTCAAAACCATATCATCAGAAGTAATGAAAATCAGAGTACAATCCCAGAAACTCAATGCGGAAACCATGTGTGTGTGATGCGCTGCTACACCGCCGGCTCCTTCCCCTTAGACGAAGAGGTACCAGAAACCAAAACTAAAACTATAAGCACGAAGCTTAGTGAGTTCCCCCATCGTACTCATACCAAAATAATACATGACCCTCGGTATCTTTTAACCGGGAACTGTCAAGCATAACCGGGAACTGGGCTTCCCCTCGGTATCTTTCAACCGGTAACCGGAAACTACCCTCCCTATCGGTATCTGGGAACTATCCTCCCCTTCGGTATCTTTCAACCGGTAACCAGAGACTATTTCACCCCTCCTACTGCTAAGACATAATAAGCACAATAAGCATAACAATCATAACCATATCAAGCACAGTAAGCATAACACATATTAAGTCCCAGATAATTATCACAAAGACAATCATCTAACCAGTACTCTTACTTGTGGGTCGGCATTGTGGCCGTAGACCCACCCCTACTAGGAGAAGACTCACCTCAAAGTCGTGTAGTGTCCGAACTGTCCTCAGCGTGAAAACCGACTCTCCTCGACTCCTCAATCCCTACACAACAACCCCATCCAAGTTATCAACTTGTACTTGCAACCCTAACCAGGGTCAACTCAAATCCGGTCAAAGTCAACTTTGGTCAAAGTCAACATCCAGTTGACTTGACTCGCCGAGTTGGTCTACCAACTCGTCGAGTCCATACTCTTCAAACCCCATACAATCCCTGACTCTACTCGTCGAGTCTAGAAAAACTCGACGGGTTCCCTTTCAATCATACTATCGGGACTATCTTTGTGACGTCATGATTTTTCACCCAAAATTTGTTTCATTTATTTTTAAAATCTTTTAACGGAAAATGCAGCGGAAGATTGTAAACACCGTTCATTTCAAAAACATTTCAAACCACAACGTTACATTCAATTCAAAACCAAAATATCAAAAGTATTTAATTGTAGCGGAAGCATAAGTTTCAAAATTAAATAACGTGTACAAGTGACATCTTTATTCTAAGGCTAAACTACCCAAAAGTGACCCCATCTCACCAAGCCAAGCTCCTAAGCTACCTGTACCAATCGTAAAGGCACAAAGCAAAGAAACAAGTGTCAGCAAATGCTTCGTGAGCCAATAAGAGTTTGTACACAACCAAAGGGAAAACATACCATCCCCTAACGGGTCAATCATTCAAATTATGATCATATAAACAAAATTCACATATCAATCAATAATCAATCATCTTTCGCTTAAAATTCAATCATTCAATTTTGTATCATCCATTCACATATCATTCATTAGTGTAATATCAATCGTATTTCATGCATAATCATATCGTAATCGTACGTCATCATATCAAAGGAATCTATCATAATCGTATAGGCATAGGTAGTCTCATAGTGATACCTAACCCCAAGGGAAAAACCTGTTCGCTACTTGTGTGCTTGGCCAGCCAAATACTTTAGGTGGTTCGCGACTCCCGCCCGTCAGACCGACCCCAAGACTCCACTTTCGCTACTCCGACCTACAAGACACGAGGGCCTACGATGTCGTTTAGGATTGGTTCAAACGGTGCCAATTTCACGATACACCTCCCGAATCCCACGTGATGCTTGATCCGGCCTCGATCGAATGGCCAACATCACTCCAGTCCATGAACACCGAAGTGTTCGTGTACCATGTGTCACACGGGCATCTAGAAAGACCGAGCAACTCTTTAATTGGCTTAAGCTCTTTTCCTAGAAGGTATTTTTCAACCAACCAGGCTTGAAGGTATCCGGATAGGATTTCATGCTAAGTGCTAGGTTCTACCCTTGCCCTCTATGCATAACCCCGCATAATCGATCGTAAATCAAGTACAAGCATGCAATATTCGTATTATCATAATCAAGATTCAAAACATTTATACCAAGAAGATACTCAACAAGGTCATAGTCAAATATCAAACATTTCATATAGCATATCATAGTTGCAATTAATCGTATCAAGTACGAAGATAGGGATATCAACCAAATTTACTAAGCATGCAAGTGTCACAGAAGGCAAAACAATGACATATCTCATACTGCACATATATATAGGCATAATCAACAATTAATAATATTCTAATTTGACTAATCGAGCCATTTCCGGAAAATAGTTTCGACTATGTACAAGGTTTATGAAAAGTCTATCGACTCACCTTAATGTTCGTCGAATGAATTACCCTTTTACTTCAACTCGTAAGCTTTGTAACTTTTCAAAAAAATACCTAAACATATATAGGTTTAATATTTAGTTTAGGTTCTAACAACTAAAGATAGCATATTAATAATATAAAAATAATAATGGACCTAAAATATCAAATATCATAAAACGTAATCAAGTTTTAGACCTTTAAAGTTAACATCTTTTTAGCTTGTATCTTAGACCATTATTAATTCGTGTTTACTAATAAAGCGCGTAATGTTTATAAGACGTCAAAACTATAATAGTCCTCCATTAGCTAGCCATTCTTTATTTGTTACTAAAAAATATCATATTTCATATAATCAGAGTATGTTTTAAATTATTGTTTAAACTTTAAAACTAACATATTTTAACATCGCCTTAGCATAATTATAATTCAGGTCAAGCTTTTACAATTCTTTTAATCGTAGATCATAATTTCATTTTGTCTGATAATTAAAAATATTATTCACTACCCAAACTGTTAAATAACCATTGATAATCTCATTCTTTTACATGTACCAACTTGTAGGACCCTTATATACAGTTTACAAAGGAGTAAAGTCAAAAGCTACCTTTCCTTACTCAATGGTAAGACTCTAGAATTTATACATCATTCATAAGATGACTAGATTTTGTGGTATTTAAATGGCCACGTATAAAACTATTAAAATAAATGATACTCTTGTACTATTATATATTTTGTCTTAGAGTCTTGCGAATCAGAAGATGAAAGGGATTATCATATGCTTAATTAGTTCAGATTTCACGTAAGGATCAATATAGTTCATATTTTCCAAATTAACGTTAAGAGGGAATTAGTCATGCCTCCGCAAGCTTGTAAACTTTCTGTCTTCACTTCTTAAGGAGGTTTATAAGTTTCAAACAACAAAAAAAATACATGGCAAGTATATCGACAGCTACGTCGTGAAAGCTGAAACAGGAAGGACAAAAGATGAGTCGACAAAGGGTCCGATCGTGGTGTAGTTCTTACCGGATGTTGGTCGCACAACAGCAGGAACAGAGCCAAACACGTTTGGCTTCTCTTCTTCCACTCCCGAAGACGCCTCCAAGTTCACGAATGTCTCGAACTTCTCTGCTCAGTCGTCTAACTCTCTCGTTCTCACTCCTTTTTTCCCTCTTTATTGTAAATGTCAATGATGAAACAACCCAAAGGGTGGTGTTATCGGTTTTTAGGGTGTAAAGGGAAAGGCGTATAAGCCGCCTGGTAACGGAAACAAAGAAGAAGATAGGTCGCATCATCTTCCTTAATCAAATGGGTGTTATCTAAAACAAATTTACAACTTTGGTCCCTGTATTTGGCTTTTATTCCACACTCAGCTCCTATTTTCCATTTCTTTCATTATTCAATCCTCCGGTTAGTGCATCTTAACCTCTCTACTTCCATAGGTTCATAATTGACTCCTATTAATTTATCTTATCGTTTTGGTTTTCTTTTACAACATTTAAATTCATCTAATCAGCTTAGATGTTACATAATCCCATCTTTAAGTAGCTTTAAATATTATCTAATCCTTTAATTTAAATTAATTCATCTTTTTTTTTTACCCCAGTTTGCTTATTTTATTTTATCTAATTCAAGATAAATACCAATACTAATTAAATAGCTGTAATATATTTTAATTACTAATTAAATCCTATAAAATCCTAATTAATCTTCTTTTTGTTCATATTATTATATATTAAATATATAATCCTACACGAAACACACATACGACTTAATCCTATATAACAGACGACTAACCTCGTTAACAATGAGATTTTTGGGTCGTTACAATCTTCATCCGACTCGCCGAGTTCACTCTTGAACTCACCGAGTTCATCCCCCTCATTTGAATATGTCCAGTCTATGACTCGCCGAGTTGTATGAACAGCTCGTCAAGTCCATCTTTAAAGATTGGAAGATTGCCTTGGACTTGCCGAGTCTGCTCAAACACTCGTCGAGTCCCATGATTCCCAGGTCTATAATCTCGTCCATCTTCGTTGAGTCCTTCTCTAGAATCAACCAGACCCCCAAAACAGCAAAGGTTGGAGAACCACTACCCGACTCGTCGAGTCCCAAGAACAACTCGCCGAGTCCACTAAAGTCCATGTCCATAAACTCGAATTCTGTCAAGCTCATCTCATCCAATGGGTAGATCTGACCTCCTAGGGTCGATATAGCACGTACAGCCACGAACTTTACGTCCATGCATGGGTCTTTTGGCCCTAAAGGACTACAAATGATGTCTAAAAGATACATGGGGCTCTCATGGCCATAAAGTTGGCACCTTTATGCCATGAGACCCCTCCAATGACCAAGATCGGAAGTCAATACTCCCCATAACACTTCACAACCCGAAAATGACTTAGAAATCCCTAAATATGCCCAAAATCCAAGCCCTAAAGATGACTAAACACATGGAAGATCAAGGCAGGAGCTTTTTACCTTAAATGAGCTGGAAATGGAACACAATCTCTGGATCTCCAAGCTCCAAATTGAACTCCCAAGCTCCTTTCCTCTTCTCAATCTTCACAATCCAACAAAATGCACCAAAATGGCCTTAGAATACTCAAACAATGCTAGGGTTTCGATATGATGTCTTCTGGGAGTATAAGGGACGATGGAGGCTGAGATAAGTTGTTTAAATAGGGTGCAAACCCTCAAATTTAGGGTTTCACTCAAACAGCACCTACTCGCCGAGTCGGTCTTCCGACTCGTCGAGTAGGTCACTTAAACTCCCCACGGATCACGACTCTACTCGACGAGTTGGGCCACCAACTCGTCGAGTCCCAGAGAAAAATACATGAAATTCTTGAATTAAATGCGTACCAGGAATCAGGTGTTACATAATCTTTCCTTATTTGGTAAATTTAGACACTACCACAAACGAAAGAATCAAATCCATATCGCTAAAAATAGAAACATATAAACATCAATTTTCACAAATGTCATTGCAAGGAAATATAAATAAGATAAAATCAAAATTCTTTCTTTATTTATAAAACTTGGAAACGCTTGTCCTTACAATGCAAGTACATATGAAAACTATGTCGCTGCATATTTCTAAGCAATCTATCATAACTCCTAAGTAGTAGCTCAAAATTCTGAACATCGAACTATGCGATCGAAATCCATCTCTTCGCGATCAGAATCAGCTTACTCTTCCTTCAAGCTTCCTTTCTATTCTTTGATCCTACAAAACATCAAAATGCAATCTTATCACATCATGTATTAAGAATCTATAAGTAGGAACTTAATAGAGTTAGATAGTGAACTTACCTGAAGTAGAGTCATACATTTTGACTTTACCATTTCTTAGATCTCTCATGTAGTCAGAGCAGCTTCGCAACCAATGCCCCTTCTCTTAGCAACAGAAATAAACAGACTCTTTTGGAATGGTACATGGGACAATCTCAGACTTAGCCTTTCCCTTTCCCTTGGAAAGAAAATCTTTTCTGGACTTCCAATGTTTCCATTTTCAATATCCATGGAAGCTTGGGAAGTAGATCTTCCAATCAAATTTGCATTACCAGTGCGCCAAATCATTACTGATTCAGCAGCAATCAGCAAATATGTAAGATCGATAAGGGACATATTGCGGTCTGTCATATAGTAATCTTTAATGAACTCACCATATGACTTAGAAAGTGATTGAAGAACCCAGTCAACAGCCAACTTCCTCGACACAATGACTCCTAACATTCCTAGCCTGTCAATGTGTGACTTCATCTCCAAGACATGTGCACACACAGACCTTCCATCTTTATGTTTGCTTGACAATAGGGCTTGAGTTACCTTGAACTTTTCAAGTCGATGAACATGTGGGTTAGGGAGAACTATTGGAGGAGGCGGAGGAAGTGAAGTATGATATTGAGGAATATCATCTTCATGTGGAAAGCATTTTCCAAAAGATTCGGGAAGACCATAGTTGTCTGAACTAGACATCTACATGGGAGAAATTCAAGTTTAGTTGATTTAAGTCCTTAATATAACACCCAAATGAAATATTAAGGCTAGGACCCAACACAATAATTTTCAATTCGGAAGAGGGATGCCGTAACCCAATTGCAAATTATTTGAAGGTAGGTAAATGACGATTTACCAATTTCCACCATGAAAACAAAAATGAATTTTAGGTTTTAAATGAATTGAAACTACTAGATTCTTTGAGATTCATTTAACCTTTCAATGACATGTTTAATCTCGATTATGCCCTTTAAGTTTGTGACTGGGATGCCGAGGATCACAAACAAGGTGTGAATAACCATGCAAATTAGCTTGGTAGACTTAATGTTACAAATCACCTAATCAATGTGCTGGTTAACCACACACGCTCCATTGATCCATGATTAACATCGAGCTACCCATTGTCATCCTTCATTAGTCCCATATTAGTGTGTCGGTTAACCACACACGCTCCACTAACGACTAATAAGGTGCAATGTGCAATTTCATGGGTTAGAATCAAATTCATATTTTTCCTAAGTAACTAAGATTGGGAATCTATAAGTTTTTAGTTACTTGGTATTTTTCATTATACTTTTAATGAGAATTAATGTCCTATCCTACCCGTTCGGCTAACGACCCTCCACCAGTCAAGAAAGCGGTGGGTAAGAGTGGACACCCATTAAACCACCATTTTATAGGTAGTAACCTTATACCCCCCTTATAGACCGACTTCATGAATAAGGCCTACTAATGGTAAGACTGACCTTTTACTTATTGATGTGTAAAAATTCACTCTAGTTTTAAATTTATAAGGTTGAAATTACCGATACTAGAATTTACTATCGACTTAGGCAAGTGTACCTAATTGAATTTGTAATATAGCAATGGTAAGAACGGATGTCGAACACTTGGGGAAACGAGTATGATTTAATATTAGACTATTTGTCGCTAATTAACTTAAAAGATAAGTAACTTGGGGGAATTTCTAGTAACAAGACAATAATGAGAATTTTAACAATTAAAGTGTAGAATAAATATAGAACAAGAATTGGTTTTTAAGAATCAAGAATGATAAGGATGCTTTCACTTAGATTTAATTCCACCTTTTAGTAATGAATGATTTATATTAAGTGCAATGGATATTATTAGTTATTTACCGATTTCTAAAATTGGTTAAAAATCATGATCTAAATTTTTTACCGTTTTGATAATAAAATTAATTAAAAACAATTGTCATGCAATTAACAATTTTATTAACAATAATTAATTCGTATCATGCAAACATTTGATCAAACTATTCATTTTAGTGGTAGTAAAACAAATATGAATCGTAAGTTGGTCGTACGATATAAAATATACATGTTAAATTTTTAGTATTTTATTTTGCCCAATTCCTAGAATATTGTCCTTTACTAGTCATAAATATAAATGGTTATGAAAAATTTATGATTCAAGATAATATAATTAAAGTGATCTTTTAAAAATATTAACTTAGTTATGGGAAAATTAATTACAAAAACTTAACATATACAAATAAATGATCAAATATGCATGATAAAATAAATAACAATTAATATCCGAATAATATAAATCAAATCATATTTTCAAGGTTTCATTATCCAAGTGAAAGCAAAGAGAATTTAGCTCATAATTAAGGTTACAACATACATAGAAAACATATTGAGAATGTTAAACATGTCGATAAAACAAACCCGGTGTAGTCCCTAATGCCACTGCGATCTTCAATTCCTTAGCTTTTTGACTCTTGAATCCCCAATTGTGGTTCAAAGGTTGGGTGGAATTTGGTATAGTGGTGATATGGTAAGAAATTGTATGGAGAAATTTGTGTATCAAAGTGTATGATTGCAATGTCTTCTCCTTTTTTGTGGTGAAAAATGGTGGTATTTATAGTAAAAATTGGAAGAATTAAATACCAAAAAGAAATGAATTGAGATTGGATCTAATGAAAAAGAATTCAAAAGAAATAAAAAGATGGGAATAAATGGTTGGAAAGTTTAAAGGTGGTGAATTATTGAGTATTGGTTGGAAAGGAATGGGTTTAGAATAGGAAAAAGTGGGCAAAAAATGGTTAAAAACGTAATGGAATCGGAATTGGCAAATCTGGTACTCAAAACGACGTCGTATTGCCAATGAACAGTACCGAATCGAATTTGGGTCGGAATCCGGGTCGAGGCGCGGATCTGCATGTGAGGTAAAACGAATCGGAGGTCGGGTCGGATCGGGTCGGAACTGGGCGCGGATCGGATTTCGATGACGTCACCGATGACGTCACAGGCGATAAAACACGCGGGTCTAAACCCGGTTCGGATCTCTGGGTCGGGTCGTGTACCGGATCAGTTTGTGAGGGCATTTGGACGCGGGGCGGACGGGTCGGATCTCAGATTCGGTTCGGGTCTTCTGGTGG